AAAAAAACAACAACAACTCAGAAATGATTTCAAGACCCCCCACATATCACCCACACCCCTCCAATCTTTTAAAGCGCTATCACCTGCCGTTGATCCTGATGAGAGCTTTATCTCTAGATTTTTTTCTTTTTGACTAGGAGGCTGGACTTTGATAATGAGGGCACACCTGCCGACTACAGCTCCGCAACCAGTTGTGCTAGAAAAAGAGTATAAGGCCCTTGCAAGCTACACAAATTACAGGCAACGGCTCACATTAGGAGCACTGAAAAAATTAAGAAAAGATATGGGTTTCCATCAGCTTCGATTTCGATGTCGTAAGAAGAGCGTCAACCGAACCATTCACATCATGACCACCAACAACACCGCTGGCCACAAAGTACTTGATCACTTCCTCGTCAAGACAACATGGCCGCCAGCTTGCGGCTCGTTTGAAAGACTACAAGATGACACGTCAAATCTTACACAGAATTGCATGAAGTGGGGTTATAATGGTAGAAAAGAGGTGAATCGATGGGGAAGAAATTCCAATTATGGACCTACCCGACTATACAGCGCTTCTATGTTATGGGAAGAGAAGTACTACTTTTCCATTCAGAAATATAACTGTGATGACTTTACTGGAAAGACCTCCGGAGCTCTCAACGTTGGGGACATTTGGGAAATATTTGTTCGTTAAAGTAAAAAGAAAGATGCATAGATGTCTAGGAAGGGCCGGTGAATTAGCTTCCAATACAATCAAACTGAAACCCTGGATTTAGACGATGTTAATAGCCAAAGAGGACTATAAGCGCATAACGAGATTTTTGTAATATGCATGACAGTGCTGGATCAGTTCTCGTTACACCAACATGGTCGACAGCGTGTAACTCCTTTAAATGACTACCAGTTGATTCTTCGGTTCTTGCGCACAATTGTTAAAAGTTACTAGGTATAGAATAGCAGTTATGCAGTATTCAGCAATATTCAGCAGTCTTCAGTATTGAACTTTTTTTGAATTAACTCTATAAGCAACTATTAGATAGCGTTGTTTCCCTGACATTTAATTATTGAAAAATTGTTGATAGATTCTTCAGCAATTTGTGCGTGATTCGGAATGGCTGCAGTTTTGTAGTTTTGTTTAGAAAAGGTATATGCAGCATCATATAGCAGATCTTGAAAAGGCTTTCCAGTAACAAGAATCTAATGTTCCAGTTTCAATGAGAGAATATTCACTATCCCCTCGTGTGAAAGTGTCTGAAAAGTCAGGTTTGTCTTTTTGTTGATAAATGACAACGTATATATCAGGACGCGTGAAAGTTGGAAAATTTGAAATTTCTTTTTAGGTTGACAACCTTTGCCATATCGGCTGTATACTATTAGTTTTGAAGAATTGCCTGCAGTAATACCGTTAAGTTAGTTTAGATCAAACCAACATTATTATATACCATATAAGTAATGCTCAAGCATGATGAAGTTTTCCATAAAGTTTAGCAAATCAGTACCTATAACTTTAGAGTATTTATCGAATAATTAAAAAAGTACGACTGTTGTCAGGCTTTGTAGCTTTGATTTCTTGTAACCTTTATAAAACTCATTAAAATTCATAAGGCAAAACACAATAGAAATCATAGCCCATGAAGAGAGTTGTATAWTACATACAGATTTCTTGTTCATTTGCATAAACTTTAACTCTGATTTTCTCGGTCAGATTGATTTTTTTTTCAAAAGTTTCTTTAAAACCTAAGCTAGTTTACCTCAACGTTTCATAAGTAATATACAATATTCGCGGGCGATCCTCATACAGATCGCCCGCTCATATTGTATATATTACTTAAAGATTTCAAGATTTACATACTGTCATATTGCCGGCTCCTTTTTAGCACATGGAACACAATGGGCGTAATTGAGCAGAGAACTAAAAACCCGGTAACAAAAGATTTCGACGTTAACAAGTAAATAAAAATAAATGAARTAGGAGGGGTTGTCAAATTAATTGCACTCAAATTGTTGTAATGAATCTGAAGTAAGTCGTCGTCAGGAGATTGTTTTTCAATTCATATTGAACTGGAAACAACTGTCCTTGCATTGAATAGCTCGTGCAACTCCAAACAATTAGAACATACAAAGTTACCACTCATGGCCAAAGCTACATCGGTTCTTATCGTGCTTTCACTCTTCCACCACAGTCGACAATTTCAACCCAAATGTCCGCGTCTTGGACTTCCATCTGAAAGTGGTGTTGAACTTCAAGGTTTTGTTTATAAATCATTCCCAGATCCAACACTTAGTGGTTGCTTTTTTAAGTGCATGGATGATAATGTTTGCCAGTCTATCAACTACAACACTCAAACACTTCAGTGCCAGTTTAACAAGGAGATAAAAAGGCTACGACCTAACAATGTCCGGCCGAAGGAACACGGTATATACATGGAAAATCCTGAAAGAGGTACGTAAGCTTTTTGTTAGCATTTTTCACATTTATTTATTTTTTAGCAAATTTACTTTATCTTCACGTCTTGGTTAAGCAAAAAGTTGTTGTTGACGATCACCCCTAACCTTTCATGTAACAATAAAACTACCCTCGATAACAAATAAAATTTGATGTATTAATATATTACTATTCAAAACTAAAAACATTAGTTTTCTATTCCTATTCGTCGATTTAGAACTTCATTCAAGTACTCAACAATTTATAACTATTAAGAAAATAAAATCCGAGTCGGCTCCAGTGAGCCACAAGCCTTAAATCCTGGAAAATCTGCTGTAACTTAGAGATCTCTTTGTTTTATTAATGTCTTCTTTTGCTCGATGTGATACTGATCAAGTTAAATTCGTAGCGTACCAAGATTGAAAACTTTGTGCATATCAGAAATTGCACTTTCAACACTTTCATTTAAACAAATGCTTCAGTTTTTATGTAATTTTGAATATAAGAGCTCATTTTTAACATAGTTGACTTTCAGGTTTCTTTGAAACAGATGACAAAGCCTCATTAAAAAAGCGTCAAAGGCGTCAAAGCGTCAGTTGACAAAGGACCCATGTCATTAACTATTAATGTCAATCTAAACTCACCCAAGAAATTAAACTCTCACAAATGTTGATACTCCAAAAATTGGTTCCCGCAATCAACGCCCAAAGGATACGGCTCCCCCTTAACTTACACTCGGGCGATAATCAATACTGCAGTTATTATGAAACGGGATAATTTGCTGGCTTATGTAGTTTTAGAAACTTTTTCTTGTTCATTGAATATTACATTGTCGTCTTTCAGCAAAAGAGGGCTCCCTTTCTCTTCCTGTTGGTCACTCGTGCAAAAAAATCAAAGATCTCGGTGAATCTCGTGGAGATGGAGAATACTGGATTGATCCTGGGAACACTGGAAAACCCTTCACTGTCTACTGTGACATGACTACTGATGGAGGTATTTACCGAACTCTGAAAAACCTATGTAGCATTACATGCTTCTTAACCCAATTCGAATGTAAAACCATCGAGAGCATCATATTATATGGATCTTTTGCAAGCCTGCGGGGTGACAACAACTCATTACGACCAAACTTTTTCAGAGCTTTCCAAATTGTGTCAGAATTGATTATGTTCAAAATCATCCCGTCTCTGTTCCTCTCTGTATATTGAAATACCATGAGTGTTTGTGTTTTTATTTATTATAATAGGAGGATGGACATTGGTTAAGAGAGCAAACTTACCTACCGCGGTCCCAAAGGGATATGTGGCGACAGATAATTATAGGTCCCTTTCAAACTACAACGATTACAGTCAAAATTTCAAAAACCCTGCTTTGAAAAAGCTAAGAGAAGACATGGGTTTCCATCAGCTTCGATTTCGATGTCGTAAGAAGAGTATCAACCGAACCATTCACATTATGACCACCAACAACACCGCTGGACACAAAGTACTGGATCACTTCCTCGTCAAGACAACATGGCCGACAGCGTGTGGCTCGTTTGAAAGACTAACAGATGACACGTCGATTCTTGCACAGAATTGCCTGAAGTGGGGTCGTAATGGTGGAAGAGCAGAAGTAAATCGATGGGGAATTTCTGACAATAACGGCAAAGCACGACTATTTAGCAATACTTTTCTGTGGAATGGTAAACACTACTTCTCCTGCAGCAGCCCAGATATGTTTTACTGCGATGACCATAAAGGAGATACTTATGGAGCTCTCAGTATCGGAGACATTTGGGAAATATTTCTTCGTTGAGTAGAAATCTGCATTGTTCATGTTAAAAGAGCTTAACGAAAAGGTTTCTGACTGCATTTTTAAAATCCGATCTTTTGACAAGAGACTCAAGGTCGAGGCCACTTTTTTGACGGTTGACGGTTAAAAAAACATCTATTTGAATGGTCTAAAACTGAACTCGTGTATATTACTCGTGTACATACGCGGACGGGTTAGTTCCTTCGAGAAGAAGCAATTAAAAAATCTGCGAATCAAGTTACTATTAATAATTTACCATTTTAATTACTAAAACTTTAATTACAATTTTAATTACATTTAATTACTAAAACTCTCAACTCATGTTTTTTTTATTGAAAATCATTTTCTTTATACAAGATTATTACCATTTGTATCTATAATATGACTCATGTTAGAGATGTGATGCAATAAATGTCATATTTAAAGCTAAAGCATTTCTTAAAATCCAGTCCATCAGTAGTCAGTGCATTGTACTAAATTTTTATAAGTTCCTATATGTGTTAAAAATGCTACAAAGTTTGTATTGGTCGCTTTTTTAGGTTTTAATTAAACATTTACTAAATACATATTTAGAAAAATCAGCGACTCCTTGTTAGTATTTAAAAAAAAATCTTTTTTCAGTCGATGAAAAAAAGGCGACAATAAGGAGTAATCTAGGGGGCTTTTAAAATTGTCAAATTAAACACTCTAAAAATTTCAATTGATGCATCTTCCTCAGAATTGACCGATTGTGTCCATATAATCATTAAGTACAGCATCTGCATATAATTTATATAATTGGTATTAATGCTATTAAGTGTTTATAGGTATTCTACTACAGAATTAAAGCAGTGTAAAATAATGATATATAACTATACTCGCATTTCTTTACATTGTTAATAATAATAATACATGTGCATTTAAAGGACTTTATACATGTTTAAAAAACTCATACATAATTAATGAGCTACTAGGCCAATAGAATGAGCCTATTTGGTCACATGCATGGACCTTTATATCTGATAAAACAGATATAAAGGTCCATGACCCTAGCAAAGGTCTCAGGTTTGAAACCTGATCATTGACCAATGCAGGATGTCAACCGATTTCAYTGAACAGACAAGAGCGGTTCTATTTTACTTTATGCGTATTCAATGTGGGATGACAAGAGTGCTTTGTAAAGTGATTCTCACCTTCGGCTCGAATCTTTATCTCATAAAACACTTTCTCTCGTGTTTTAAACTATACATAAAGGAGTGCAATGGTACCTATACTCGCATTTCCTACACTATTAAAGATTAATAAAGTACGAAGAGCCGTCTTTGTTTTATCTTGAAATGCTCTGGGACAAAAATATCAATCAATATCTTCATGAAAAAAAGTTATTTCGTCTTTTCTTCAAACAACTAAAAAAGTGTCCTTAAAGCTGTTGGATCAAGCTGATATAGACCTAAAAGAAGCGTTGACGACATCAAACCTGGAAGATTGAAAAACACTCCTTTTGCCAACCGATTATAACATAGAACACTGCAGGTTGTATTTTCAACCGGGAACTAAAAGTAACTAGAACTATTTGCCACACTCTGTATTTAATAATAAATATTAATTAAATAACATTGATAATGTGAACGTTGTTGACCGACCAATCTATAATATTGAATCTCCTTTGCTACGAAATGCTGGGTGAACATGAAAATAAATAGCATAGACAAAATCCTAGGTATCCTGAAACGTTCAGTGGTCGGATCTGCAAGGGCCTACTGCTAGCTCTTTCGACAGATCTTAGGATCTGGAACGAAGGTGTTTAATATATATATATATATCCATGGTAGCCACCCAAAAGTCCATTGGGAATTTAGTTGATAAGGAACCTTCAAAATGAAAAACCCTGGCATTTGTCCAATAAGGTGAATGCCGTTAATTAATGTCCCTATTAAATCTTTCATCGTGCTAAATAGGTAAAACGTTAATAATTAACTATTTATAAAGTTTAATAATATTGCAAATATCATCTTCAGTTTGATGGCAAAGAAATCAACTTACAACTTCTATACATACATGTATATTGATATACAATGAAATTGTACTTTAAGACTAGAATGATTCATTGTTTTATTGCTACAAGCTGGTTTTGTATGGTCATATACAAGTATCTTCAATGTTAACTGTCACAATGTTATCATGTCGGACTGTACATAGCATTAAACTTAAAGATTTTACTTGACTTCAAAGACGTCTCTTTTTCTGGAGTCATGAAAATCCTTATGAAAATATACTATTTTCACTCAACTTCGCTATTAGGTGTTAACTAATTTATTGCAGTTTGCACCGAGCTTGTTTATCACACGGCTTTTCCTATGTGACCACAAGCTCTCATTTTGCGACGACATGAACATATTGAATCTTTCATGGGAAAAATACATTATGTTTTATTAATTTTGCTAGTGTTTTTAATTGGTTTTATAAGGTTTAAGACTTTCTACTCTAATTGAATGCTAAAGAAATCGCAGCGAACATCTTCTCGAAATCCAGGGTTGACGGCTGTGGATAGCTCATGGGCAAAAAAGTGCAACCAATTTTGTTTTTCATTCCACTCCTGAACATTTTCATGCGCTGTTTTGTGGAATCCAAGTCAAAATGTTCGACTGGTATCTCATCCGAAATGGGTATCGAGCTTCAAGGGTTCGATTTCAAGTCGTTTCAAAGTGCAGAACTGAGGAGTTGCTTTTCCATGTGTTTGGACAACGGCATTTGCCAGTCAATCAACTACGACACTCAAATATTTCACTGCCAGTTAAACAACGAAACGAAACGACGACGCCCGGAAAGAGTAAGACTGAAGCATTATAGTGTATACATGGAAAACCCCAAAAGAGGTAAACGTAAACATTTCTTTGTTTTGTTAATAAATTGTAATGATTTTCAGCCTTCTTTTGTAATCAAACCATAAAGATGTATTTAATAGATAGTTCATTTCTTATCTCTTCTATAATAAGGAGTGCAGCTATGAGTTAATAAAGTTTATGAATAACATTATTTGACAGTGCAATGTGCCATCTGCACACCATTGCGTTAAGTTCTTTTATTACCAAGGCTACAGTACTTAATTCGCGCAACTTAATTCTTCTTCAAATGTTTAAATCCCTTTGGAGATTACTAAAACAGTGACTGGCTCACACACAGCACCGCGTATGCGAAATAAAGGATTAATGTGCTAATGAGATACGATATCATTGGATGTTAAGACCGATTTTAATTTCAGTGTATGTAATTATGAACGTTATGGCGAGAATGAAAATTGAAAAGCCAGTACACGGTAGTACGAAGGGTGGACTGATTAATTTAACTCATTTATGTACGCTTTTTATCGGCTGAACAAGAATCTATCTTGTTTGTACAACCAGCTAAGGCTTTGCGTATATCGGGAGGAACCTTCACCGGTCTACCTCTTCTTACGGTTTCCATCATTTTCAGCCAAGATCGGTTCCAGTGCTATTTTCGCTGGCCACTCGTGCAAGGAAATCAAAGATCTCGGTGAATCTCGTGGAGACGGAGAATACTGGATTGATCCTGGGAACACTGGACAACCCTTCACTGTCTACTGTGACATGACTACTGATGGAGGTAGTATTATTTAATTCTCGTCTTACAAATAAAAACTATAGAGCTGTTTGAACATGAAAATATATCCAGCTGTGTCCCAGCAAAAGCAAATTCAAGTTTGGATTAAAAAGGAATGGCTTTCCTTGTTTCTCATTGAACATTTACTCTGATTTCCTATCATAATGCATGTAATTGGCAAAAATAGGTCTTGCGAAAACTTTATTTCTTTCGTAGGAGGCTGGACACTGATAAAGAGGTCAAACTTGCCAACAACGTCTTCGCTACTCTCTGTAGAACGAAACGACTACAGATTTCTTAGTAATTACAAAGACTACAAGCAGTTGATTGTCTCCTCTGGGCTTCTTCAGCTAAGAAAGGACATGGGTTTCCATCAGCTTCGATTTCGATGTCGCAAGAAGAGTATCAACCGAACCCTTCACATCATGACCACCGACGACAACGCTGGCCACAAAGTACTGGATCACTTCTTCGCCACAACAACATGGCCGACAGCGTGCAACTCGTTTGAAAGACTACCAGATGACACCTCGATTCTTGCACGGAATTGCCTGAAATGGGGACTTGATAATAATGGTAAAACAGAGGTTAATCGATGG